AATCACGAAATTTAGTCTTCTTAAGTTGATTACAAAGTTAACCTGCATATTTATGACTGTCAGTAATAAAAACTCGGGTAATTTTGACTACATATATGTGTATTATTTAACGGAAGCGTCTCTTCGATAATGGACAATGGTTTTTGGCCTGCCACCTTGTCTGTACGTTGGGCAGTAGCCTCTCCGGTGCCTCATTCTCCGACAATTTGACGGCAGCAAAAATCTTGCTTACAGGCAAGCGCATCGTCAATACACGGCGACATTTTTAGGCTTGACCTGAACATAGTGATTGTCGTGCTGACATCTGGAACTATCTTACGTCCATTAGCAAACCTGCCTTGTCATACATGGGCCCTTATGGTAATGCGCTCCAGACTAAGCCCTTGATTTAATTAAAATCCAGACACTGCCTCCTCCATACTGACACGAACATAAACAAACGCGTAAACGACAAATCGCTGCTCGCATACTCCCGAATGGACGCTTTTTTCGACTACACAAGTCAACAGCCATATCACAGTAACCTGCTCTGCGCTCATCATAGCTGACTGACTTCTATTATCGGAACGAACCTGTGTGCCCAGTTAAAAGCAATCTCGCGTCCTGGCAAAACTAATTTGTACGTTCCGCTTAATATTTATTCCCTCCGCCCAACTGCCTAACGTATTTTATGGCCGAAAATTTAATTCTTGTCTAGTGAGCGTAAATTAATATTTAAATGCGATGGAAGTGCTCAAAAAATACTAAATTAACTTAGATTCTATTTGTTTCAAAATACTTAATATGCGCAGGAGACGGATGCCAATTGTGGGAAATTAGACCTTATATTGGCAGGGTGAAATGAAAATGGAAATTCGACCTTCCGTTGGTGGTACTTAACGAAAAAAGGGAAAGTCGTGTTACTGAAAGTGTGAAAGTGGGTTACCGTCAAAGCCCTCGTTCTTGGCCGCCAAAGTGCAAAGCACGTCTGCAGCCTTGAGACAAACAATTTCTAGGGTTGATCCTCTAAATTCTTAAGATGAAGTCTGTTAAACCAATCGGAGTAGGCTATTGAATAGTATAAATATAAAGGTATACGATGGCCCACACGGGATCACTGTCCCCTGCCTATTTAAATACAACAAGCCACAGCAGTTGATGGCAGTTTCAAACAGTACTCGAAAGGTGACCTAGATTTAACAGGAGCCGTGCTCTTCGAAATTTGCGATATAAAGCATTGCTAAAACCGTGCGGATTTTGGTTCCAACAAATATATCTTAATGACGTCATAAATTTCGTGACCACTTAATTAGCTGCAGACGGTCGTTGCCTAATAATAATAATTGCTTCTACTCCCTTTACCTATCAAGTTTCCCCCTTCGAGACTGACACATAATTGGACAGGTTATTCTCTTATTAAAAGGCGACGAACATCTGCAGCTGAGTGAATTGTCACGAAATTTATGCGTCATTAAATTCTGCTTAACTCTTCGCCTTGTTCAAATTTCTTCCGGGAAGACAAGGTTAAAAATATTTCTTAGGAGCTAGTTGTTGCTACATCACGTTAAGAATTACTTCGGATGACTGATGCCTTGAGAGAAAAGATCTTTTCTCTCGTTGACACTAAAAATCACTGGGCATTGTGGCATGTCTTCGCGTTAGTTGGCCTTTATATTAACACTTTATATTGATCTTCAGCCTTCTGAAACATAGGCGAATGGGTTATCAGCCCGTTTTGGAGGCCTATGCCTACTGAATTTAAAATAATACTAGTCTCACCAAACCTGCTCGTGGATCGCATTGACATGTACGAGAGTCCTGTAAACTTTTTTCTTGATTTCAATAGTGACAACACATACGATATAATTCGCTATACTGAAGTGAACTGACAGATGCGCACACCCATTATATTAAATACCATTCAGCGAAACTGTCAGACACTGAGTTTTCCTTTACTATGCAGCTGAAAACATTCAGTTTATTTTCCTAGATGAGGTTCAGTAATGCCTATTATGTACACGCTTTGTGCAAGGAGGCGAGCGAGACCGAGCAGGCGGCCTCAGCACATTGCGCTGTAAGTTTGATGTACCATGACGGGAGTCATATTCCTTTACGGTACGTGTTAATGGGGATTTGCTGACTACACGCGAGACAATAACTAACAGCATACAAATGCATGTTCACGTGCAGACACGAAGGCCATGATACCGCGTCAGCCACTGCGTCCCATCATATCACCAGCCGGTGCAGAGTCTCAAACAGTCGACTAATACACGAAGATGGAAGAAAGGGCCAGAGTATAGACGATTAATCTCCGAAAAAAATTAACGCGTTCCTCGCCATAACGAATCTTATACATTTTAATATGTCACGGCAAAGAATGTTTGCAAATCATGGGATAACTCCATCTTCCGCGGGTCTGAGGGTCGGGTTTAAATGGTGGTTTTTCAGTACAGCCTGACTGGAATTCCCAGTGATATGACACCCGAGCTGCATTAAGCTGCTACGGAACACTAAGCGGTGTGTGACAGGCGTAGGCGGGCAGCTTAAATAAATCAGTCACATCACTAGAGTCTATCTCCTGTCGTCTTGACATAGTCTTGTCCTCAGAATCAGGTGGGTGGAAGAAGAGAATATGCTGTAGTTACGATGCACGCCTGTTCCTTGACAATCTAATGCTCGCGCAAGTCTCGGATGCTGGGCTTACTCCATACAGTTAGGACTGGGCGTGCCGATTTGCAATGATTGAACAATCGGACGAGAAGGCGAGGTGTCTTTATTTTTACTCAAACTATTTTCATCAGAAAGTATTTCTAACATCCTGGTTTACAAATGAAATACGCCCTAAATGACTGCTTAATTCAAAAAGTCACACAAATTACAGGGGTTTCTTAGAAGCGCGCAGAACATGGTCGCCGTGAGGGTGTCCTGAATTAATAAAATTAAGTATGAATGTTTACAGATAATGCTGTATTTTTTTGCCAACTTCATGCGGTTTCATCGGTCGCATTCACCCACGCTTCGCTGAGTCATGTTATCTTTTTCGTTTCATCCTTGCGCACTGAGGCTGATCGCGGTACGATCAGAAATCAAGTGTAGGAGCCACCGCAACTGAAACGCTAGTTGTTTGGTTAGAATGTTACACCAAAGGCAGATAACAGCAACAAAATAAACCATTTTAATAACTTAGCTACCGAATTATGAATAAATAGCGCTTTTATACTAAATTTTACTGAGGCATAGTTAGGAAGTAATATAAACAGAAAAACCTACGGCGCTTACACTTGGGTAAGGAACAGGAGAAATCCTCAAATTCACCTTGAAATGACACCTAAAAACAACCTGTTTATAGTTGTTCAATATTTTATTTCGACCGTCGATTTCATCAATTTCCACCGTATGCTCCACAACAACATGGTGCTGGGAAGATGACTTGAGTGTACATTAGTGTTAAATGACAAGGGACTAGCGCTGCATCTAGCGCACCCTCTCTTCCTTCACCCTTCTGAGCCCGATGTCATGATGACCGGAGCTGGATCGGTCGCAGCGCCTTACAGGACCGACGGGCCCGTCTGCTCACGCCACAGCACGATGTGGAGTATACGCACATTATGCAGTATGGAGCATGCGTTTTCTGTAATCCACGTAGGGTCCCATTCGTTTCACAGGATAATTAACTACTCACGTCCAACTGATATATTAAAGTCCTGTAGGCAAAACGGTTAGGGATTCTCCCCCGTGAGCGTTTGTGTGACTAGGTTTCAGACGCCTATTCGATTACAAATAATTCCCCAGCGGGTTTCGGTGTAATCTACACGCAAACATCTTCACTCTAGCCTACAGAGTTGTGGTCATTTGAGCTTGGCAGATGGTAAATTTATGTGGGAAGATTTTAAGACGGTGTCGAACAGATAGTTGACAGAGTCTGTTGTTCCTATTGGGGTTCTCGGAATACCATGTAATAAGAACGAGTTAATGCGTAGCCTAAAAAGCATTCCCACGCACTGTACGCATACTACCGGGTGAACGAAAGCTTTATGAGCCACATGGGCCATATACTCAGAAAAGCGGGGGATAACGCATATCGATTATTGTTAAAACGAAATTCTACCTGTTTGACAACATTAAAATGAAAAAAAAAACTATTATCTGTTCCACCGACAACTGGTTGAAAATATTAAAATGGGCCCTCAGGTGATGCGGAGGTTTTAGCCAAAATCCTTTCGCTTAGAGAAATGTTATACGTTAACTTCTCACAGGCTGCACATTTGCTCTTTTCACGGAGAATGTTGCAATATAACAAAAAAGATACTTAAAAAGAGAAGCGAAGAAGATACCTGTGCAAAGTGATTTTGATTTAAATGGCGCAGTGCGAGTTACACACACACACACACACACACACACA